TCGGCGGAAGAAGTCAAGTTTCTCCGCCATAGCGAGAATTTCTTGAAAGTCGGTGACGCCGCGAAGCTGGATTTCCTGAGCGATGTCCTGCTTCAGGCCGCCGATGTAGCGGTCGATGCGCTCGCTCTCGTGCATGTAACCCATATGCTCGCATAGCGCCAGAAACCCGCTCGTGTAGTCCTGGACGGAACCGAGTTGGCGCCAAGTGCAGAGCTTCTGTCGCGCCGCGATCGAGGCCGCAATTGGCTCGAAACGAGCGTGCAGTCCTGCGCACCACGCGTCCCACGTGCGATACTGGGGCACCTCCACGAAGTACGACGGCGCCCAGGGTCCGGTTTGTCCTTCCCGTGTTGGTAGAGTCGTGTAGTTCACCGGCTTCGTGACGATGACATGCCACCAGTCCATGGCGGGTCCTCGCAGCAACGACACGTCGTAGCGAATCTTCGCCGTATCCTCCGAGACGTAGTTCGCGTCGAAGAAGACGTTCAACGTGAAGAGCCACGCCTAAACGATAGACTATCCCGCTGACTCGGTTCAAAGCATGGCGGACGCTGCGGCTTCAGCGGCATCGGCGACGGTAGTGTTGATTCGCCGGCTGGCACAGAAACTGTGACTCGAGGCTGACTTCTGGCCGCGTTTGTCTCGTCCGGGTGTGTCGTGCCGTGGTCGTCGTCTCGCTCGTGGCGGAAGACGCCATCACTGGCCGTGCTCGCGGGCTGCCCCACGCTTCCATGTTGCGATGTCTGTGGTGCAGGCTGTGAGAGTACGACGGCTTATGCCAGCTATGCTTGCTTGCCTCTACTTTTATCATGCTATTTCTAGCATAGGATAATTATATGCATGAATGAATTGCTTGATTTCCTAGGCTAGGTGCTTTCCTATATTTTTTTATAGTTATAGCACCGAGCTAGGTTGCGTGCACCGAATTCTGGCTTTTCGGTTGCCACCGAATTGCCTTCTACCGAATTCAGTAAGGATCTGTTCGGGACGCTTCGCGACCCGCGGAACCTTCGCGTAACACCTGGTTACGGGGCCTTGTGTCGAGCCTATATATAGCCTCGTGTTGTACCCAGGTGATCATTCAATTCAATTTGAATCATCTTTTCTGAGCTCGATCCCAGATCCTCACACTTGGTAATCAGAGCGGGTTTACACGCGAGGTCTTCAACCGCTTAGTTCCGGCCTTTAAAAACCGCGGGGGCGACGACGAAAGCGCCGATACGGGTATGTAAAACCAGTTCCGCGCAATTTTTCTAAGTCCCCCTCGATTCGGTTTTCGAACTCCCTCATATTTACTGGTGGAAAGGTTGGAGTTTCGACCGTTCGATCGAGTTTCATCTCAACGGCCCAGAGAATTTCGCCTAAAAAAGTTGGAATTTGGAGCGTCGGATCGATTTTCTCCTCAACGGCCAAGATCGGACGCGAATTTTGCTTAAGGGAGATTTACGCAACCTACAGAATTTGCGCTCGTCGATTCTACTGTCAATTTGACTCGCAGTAAGTCGACCAGCACCTAGAATTTGATTTTTTTCGTCGCGCATCTTCCTGTAAATCGCCAAATGGAGGGAAAAGGAGATATTTCAGTACAGAAAATCGCGGAGTTACGTGCTGAGCGTAAGCAGATACGTGCAGCGCTCCCACGACTCGAAAAACTCCTTGCGAACCAGTCGGCAACCGCCACAGCAGCAGCGACAACAGTAGGAGCAACAGCAGCGGCAACACCGACAATTCTACATGCGACAACGGCAGCAGCTACAGTTAACCTCGAAGCAGTGAAGCTGAGGCTACCGGAGGCGTTCGATCCTACAGTAAAAAGGAACGACGTTCGTCGATTTGTAGCTGAACTCGAAATTTACTTCGAAGCCGTTAGATGCACGACCCCGACAAAAGACGCAATGCGCATACGGCTCGCAGCAACACTGTTACGAGGCCCAGCTCTAGAGTGGATCAACAACAGAATAGTCCAAGGCGAGGGGACGTGGGCGCAAGTTCCGGCAGCACTAATCGAACAGTTCGACACGTTGAACAGTAGCTACTACGGAACACGACGCAACAAGCCAACTAGTGGCATGGGGCGATTGGCACCACCCACGACTGCCGACCCGATGGAGAACGACAAGGGCGATGTGGAGCAGCGGCTAGCAAATAATGAGACGTGCAAATTTTGCGGCGCTACAGGACATCGTATCTTGGCGTGTTGGAAAATGAAGAGAAGGTGTGCGGAGCTGAAGGACAAGAACAGTGCGGCACCCCCGAAGCAGAAAACGGACAACGTGGCAACTTCGGAGAGGGCGAAAAAAGGAGAATATGGTGGCGCAAATTTAAAACGCCACGACCAGCCGGCACCAGGGAAAACGCCGAGACTAATGGAGGATCCGCGAAACAAGACCCTGCACCGACTGGGCAACTCCAACCGTATACCCCAACAAGTAAGAATATTACTTCTCGTGGGTTTCAAGCCTTTATTAAGGGAGAGTCAGAAATTAAACCGGTACCGGGTATTATGGGGACCCTACTCCAGAGCGCTAACACGGGTCGAGCGTTCCGAGGAGTTAATATTCTCTCCCAGCAGCACTGTTTAAAGGCTCCCTGTTCCCCACAGATGAAGCCTACACAGCTGCAAAGGCTTAGTGGAAGGTTCCAGGCCCAAGAGAAGCCGAATCGGCCTCGGATAAATCCTTCTAACCTTTCTCAGTTGAAAACTGATACTGAAGCTGCATCTTTGAGCGCAGGACCTAGGGATAACATATTCGACGTACCCTACGATCCTATAAGCGATACCATCTACGGATACTCGGAGCAGCAGCAACCACTAATACTCGAGGTGATCTGCAACGGGCGTCGCCTCCAGACCCTGGTGGACAGTGGTGCGTCCCACTCGGTGTGCGACCGCGGGACGTTGGAGAAAATTGGAGAATCCTAAGAAGAAATCCAGTTTACAGCAACGATGGTGGACGGTACGAAGCTTCCCATCCACGGAAAGTCAACACTGCAGCTGCAGATAGGGGCGTTGAGGTGGAAGCCGACGTTGGCGATCACGAACATCAAGGGACTAGATTTCATCTTGGGGCAAGATTTCCTTAAGCGGTTCAACCCCAAGATCGACTGGGTCAACCGGAAAACGTGCATCTACAACAACGGGAAACAAGTGGAGCTGCGAAGCTTGACGGATACAGGGAGCGTTCCTGAAACGACACTGGCACGGTTCGAACGGACAGTGAACGAAAGTAACACGGGTTACTTAGCACTGGTTATAGCAGCAGCAGAGGAGGAGGTCTTGGAGCAGTACAAGGATATAATGGCCGACGACCTACCCACATGCGTATCTCCAGCGCGCACCCACGAGCACGAGATCGTGGAGGAACCAGGTGCGAAACCCATCTCACGTGCACCATACCGACTGAGTCCGACTGAACTGACAGACATGAAGAAGCAGATTGAGTATCTACTGGACAGACAACTGATCCGCCCATCCACCTCTCCCTACGGCGCACCGGTTCTCTTCACTCCAAAGCCAGACGGTAGTTTACGGATGTGCATCGACTACCGCGCACTGAACAAACAGACAGCACTGACTACAGCACCAGTACTCATCCTACCGGATCCAGACAGAGACTACGTGGTGGAAGCAGACGCTAGTGACCAAGCAGTCGGAGCAGTACTGATGCAGCATCACGAACGCAGTTTGCAGCCCATCGCCTACCTCAGTAAGAAGCTATTACAGTGGAAGAAGGACTTAGCTGTAAGGAAGGGTGTCAGAACATATCTATAGCTTATACTGCTGTGTAGGCTGTAGTGGGGTATCCCATAGGGGGTACAACCCAGTTAGGGTTTCATATTTGTACTGCTTTCATTCATAGTTCATCCATTCCTGTTTTCCTATTTTCACATGGTATAGAGCAGGTCCTACCTTAGGACCGTTGTCTGGGCCCACCGACGCGCGCCCCGAGGCGCGCCCTTTTTTTTTTAGCGACCCCTCGGGTCGCCTTTTCACTCGCGGCCCCGCCGCCTCCTCTGACGCGGCTTTGCCGCCTCCCCTGACGCGGCCCAGCCGCCTCCCTTGACGCGGCCCTGCCGCCTCTTTTAACGCGGCCCCGCCGCCTCCCTTGACGCGGCCCCGCCGCCTCCCTTGACGCGGCCTCGCCGCCTCCCACGACGCGGCCCCGCCGCCTCCCCTGACGCGGCCCTGCCGCCTCCCTTGACGCGGCCCCGCCGCCTCCCTTGACGCGGCCCCGCCGCCTCCCCTGACGCGGCTCCGCCGCCTCCCCTGACGAGGCCCCGCCGCCTCCATTGAAGCGGCCCCGCCGCCTCCCCTGACGCGGCCACGCCGCCTCCTCTGACGCGGCCCCGCCTCTGCTGCCGACGGCCCCACCGCTGCACCCTGCCGGCCCGTCGCTGCACCCTGCCGGCCCGCCGCTGCACCCTGCCGGCCCGCCGCTGCACCCTGCCGGCCCGCCGCTGCACCCTGCCGGCCCGCCGCTGCACCCTGCCGGCCCGCCGCTGCTCCTGCCGGCCCGCCGCTGCACCTACCGGCCCGCCGCTGCACCCATCGGCCCGCCGCCTCTTACGGCCCACCACTTGCACCTGCCGGCCCGCCGCTGCACCTGCCGGCACGACGCTGCACCTGCCGGCCCGACGCTGCATCTCCCGGCCGAACCGCCCCAGCCGCCGAGCCGCCCGGGACCCGAGCCGCCCTGCCGCCGAGCCGCCCGGGAACCGAGCCGCCCTGCACCCGAGCCGCCCAGCCGCCGAGCCGCCCGGGAGCCGAGCCGCCCTGCACCCGAGCTGCCCAGCCGCCGAGCCGCCCGGGAGCCGAGCCGCCCTGCGCCCGAGCCGCCCAGCCGCCGAGCCGCCCGGGAGCCGAGCCGCTGTGCACCCGAGCCGCCCGGTCGCTGAGCCGCCTTTCTGCTGACTGCACGACCTGCCCTGCCTGGTGAGCACTGTCCCACTGACACTGCGAGCTCTTTCCCTACTGCTTGCACTGCGTCGCTGTCGTCACCATGGCTACCCCTAGTGTCCTAGCTTTTGACGCTGAGGGTCGCGCCATTGATTTTGAGGTCTGGTTAGACGACCTGCAGCTGTTCTTACAGTGCGACAGGGCTGACGACCTTTCTCTCTTTGACCTCACCTCTGGCGCCTCTCCTGCCCCTGCTGCTGATGCTGATCCCGCTGTCCGCTCTAAGTGGGCCACCCGCGATGCTGCTGCACGTCTTGCTGTGCGTCGCCACCTCCCTACCTCTGAGCGTGCGCACTTTAGTCAGTACAAGAGTGCTCAGACCTTGTACGACGCTGTAGTTGCGCGCTACTCCTCCCCTGCCACTGCTGCACTGAGCCGTCTCATGCTTCCCTACCTCTTTCCTGACCTCTCTGCCTTTCCCACTGTCGCTGACCTCATTACGCACCTCCGCACTAGTGACACTCGCTATCGCGCCGCCCTTCCTGCTGAGTTCTGCGCTAAGAACCCCCCCCCCATGTACATCGCTCTCTACTACGTAGTCGCACGCCTCCCTGACTCCCTTCGCGTCGTCAGGGACCACTTTCTCGCAGTCTGTCCCACCACTCTCACCGTCGACCTCCTCGAGAAGGCCCTCCTTGCAGCGGAGAAGAGCATAGTCGCTGTAGGTGCTTCTCGTGGTGACCCTCGCACCCCCATCTTTGAGGGGTGCTCTCCTTCCCCCTTGCTGCCCTCTGTTGCCTCTGCTGCTGCTGCCGACCTGCTTGGTCTTGAGTCGGTCGGCGCGGCGTCTGCCCCTAGTGGGAGACGTCGCTCCAGCAAGGGCAAAGGGGGCAAGGGCGCGGGTGGAGCTGGAGGGGGCGGTGGCGGTGGCGGCGGTGGCGGCGGAGGGAGTGGGGGTGGCGGCGGGGCTAGTGGCGGGGGTGGTGGTGGTGGTGGCGGCAGCAGCGGCGGAGACGGTGGTGGTGGTGCCAGCGGTGGTGGTGGAGGCAGCGGCGGAGGTGGAGGCGGCGGAGGTGGAGGCAGTGGAGGCGGCAGCGGAGGAGGCAGTAGTGGTGGAGGAGGTGGAGCTGGTCGGGGTGGTACCCAGCAGCGTAGCGGCGGTGGTGGTGGCCAGCGCTCGCACCGGCAGCAGCAGCAGCGCTCGCGGGACATCCCTTCGCCTCAGCAGCTTCGTGAGTGGTACGCTGAGCGTCAGAGGGGTGGGGGTACTGGTCCCTGCACCTACGTTCTTCGTTCCGGCGACCGCGCGGGTGAGCAGTGTGGGGGTGCCCACGCCACCCAGCGCTGCTTTGGCCGCCTGACGGACGCTTGGCGTCAGCAGTTCCCTGGGGCTAGTGAGATCCCTCGCTGGGATGAGCTTCTCAGGGCTGGTGTAGCAATCTTTGATCTTGATTTTGATCCTATCCTTACTGCTATGTATGTTGTGGATTATAGTGAGGAGAATGAGGGTTACCGGTGTTTTCAGCCCGACCCGGGCATTGGTACTGCTGCGCTAGGTGCTTGTGAGGCTGCTGCTCTAGGTGCCAGTGCGTCTGCGCTCTCAGGTACTGGTGAGACTGCGCTCTCAGGTACTGAGTCGTCCTCGTCCTCCCTCACTTTCACACTTGACTCCGGAGCTTCTCGCTCCTTCTTTCGAGACCGCACTACCCTTTCGCCGCTCGCCAGGCCGGTTGCGGTCTCCCTTGCTGACCCCTCTGGGGGTCCTGTCCTGTCTCACTTCTCCACTGTCCTCCTCGTGTCCGGCTGCCCCTTCGGGCACCCTGTCGGGTCTGTACCTTCCCTCGTTCTCTACGAACTTGGTGAGTGGAGCGGACCTGCAGGATGGGGGTGTTCACCAGTTCACTCCTGCGCGTCAGAGGGTGACCCACTGCACGGAGGCTCGCACAGGCCGACACCTGGCCACGTTCTCACGTCGGCCGGGGTCGAGTCTCTACACCCTGATCGCTGAGTCTCCTCCTGTCCCTGCGTCTGGTCAGGTGGCTGCGTCGGGTCAGGTACTTGCTGCTGCGTCCCGGTCAGGTCCTGAGTCTGCCCCCGTGTTCTTGTCGCCTCCTGTCTCACGAGACTCTCCTGTGGCACCACCGTCTTGGCCACCCCTCCTTGCCCCGTCTTCGGAGCATGGCTTCCCGTGTCCTTGTCTCTGGTCTTCCCCAGTCTCTCCCTCCTCTCCCCTCCGGGCCAGGACCTTCCTGTGTCCCCTGTGTCGAGGGTCGCCTCCGGGCTACTCCTCACTCCTCCCACTTCCCCCCGACAGAGGCTCCCCTGCAGACGCTTCACATGGATGTGTGGGGCCCAGCCCCCGTCCGTGGGCAGGGTTACGAGCGCTACTTCCTGTTGGTGGTTGACGACTACTCGCGTTACACCACAGTCCTCCCCTTGCGCAGCAAGGGTGCGGTCACTGAGGTGCTGATCGACTGGATCCGCGAGGCTCGTCTCCAGCTCTGGAAGAGCTTCGGCTCGGACTTTCCTGTTCTGCGTCTGCACTCTGACAGAGGCGGAGAGTTCTCTTCTCGCCTTCTGCGAGACTACTGTCGTGCACGGGGGATCCGCCAGACCTTCACACTTCCGGACTCACCACAGCAAAATGGGATTGCTGAGCGCCGCATTGGCATGGTCATGGATGTCGCTCGTACGTCCATGATGCATGCGGCTGCCCCCCATTTTCTGTGGCCGTTTGCGGTGAGGTACGCGGCGCATCAGCTCAACCTTCACCCCCGGGTCTCTCGGCCAGCGATGTCCCCAGCCTTGCTGTGGACGGGGAAGGTTGGCGATGCGTCTGTGTTCCGTGTCTGGGGATCTCGGGCGTTTGTCCGCGACTTGTCTGCGGACAAGCTGTCCCCTCGTGCTGCTCCCTGTGTCTTCCTTGGCTTCCCCATTGACGCCCCAGGGTGGCAGTTTTACCACCCCTCCTCTCGTCGTGTTCTGTCCTCCCAGGACGTCACGTTCGACGAGTCAGTCCCCTTCTACCGTCTCTTCCCCTACCGCACTCCTTCCCTCCCCCCTCCCCCGGACTTCCTTGTGCCGGTTCCCCCCCCGGTAGACCCCCTCCCCCCTCAGGTTCCTGCCCCCTCAGGTGTGTCCCAGGTAGACGCCGTTGACCCGGTCGAGGTTACTGGTGACTCTGGTGCTGCTGCGGGTGCTGAGCCTGGGGGTGCTGACTCTGGGGGTGCTGTGCGCGGGGGTGCTGAGCCTGGGGGTGCTACTGCTGGGGGTGCTGGGCCTGAGGGTGCTACTGCGGAGGGTGCGGAGCCTGGGGGTGCTGAGCCGGGGGGTGCTGTGCCTGGAGGTGCTGGGTCTGGGGGTGCAGGGTCGGGAGATGCTGAGCCTGGGGGTGCTGAGCTGGGAGCTGATGAGCCTGGGGGTGCTGCGTCTGGAGCTGCTGAGCCTGGGGTTTCTCCTGCTGCTGCGTCTCGCCGGGAGCCCCTCTCTCCACAGGAGCTGCGCGAGTGGTTCGCTCGCCGCTGGAGGCGTGCTGCTGAGTCTGGTGGTGCTGCTGGAGCTGGAGCTGGAGCTTCTTCGACCGTCGAGGGTGCGGGTGCAGCCGGTCCCGGAGCTGCTGGCCCTGCAGGTCCTCCTGGAGATAGAGCTGCTGAGGGCGTTCGTGCTGAGCCTGCTGCTGTTGGTCCTGCCGCTGGAGGTGTGGGTGGCGCTGGTGCTGTCGCTGAGGGTGCTGGTGCTTTCCCTGCTGAGTCTGGAGCTGCCGCGCGGCCTCGGCCGTACTTCGTTCCGCTCCTTCAGCAGGTTCTTGGTCTTTCTCCTCCAGTAGAGGGTCCACCGCCGGTCCAGTCGCAGCCCCTACTGGAGCCTTCCTCTCCACTGCCTGCTCCCTCTCCTTACACTGGTCCTACTGGAGGTCTTGCTGAGCGTCGTGAGCCTGCGTCTCGTCCCGCGTCGCCTGTTCGTGCTGCTCGCGCTGGTGGTCGCAGTTCGCGTCAGCGTCCTCCTCCTGTCCCTGGCACGCACCGGATGTCTTTACGTCCGTCCACTGCTCCTCTGCGTGCCCCTTTGCCTTCTCCTCCTGAGTCCTCTCTTCCTGCGCTTGCGGACCCTGAGTCGGACACTCTTCGTGCTGCCAGTCCCACTGTCACGCGTCTGCTTGCTACTGTCGTCACTGACCCCTCTTTTGAGTCCACTGCTGCGTCTGCTCTAGTCGCTGAGCTCGTCGACTTTGCTGCTCGCTGTCGTCTCGACTACGCTGCTAGTCTTGTTGCTGAGTCTGCGTCTGTCTGTCCTCCGTCCGTCGGGGGTGAGTGTGCTCTTGGCACGGACGTCCTAGAGGACAGGCAGGAGGAGTTACAGTGTCTAGCGGCTGCTTCACCTCATCTCGCGTCTGTACTGCTTGCCCCTGAGGGAGACCCGGATGCACTAGACATCCCGACTCCGCGTTCTTACGCGGAGGCCGTAGAGGGTCCCTACTCCTCTCAGTGGCAGGCAGCTATGGATGCAGAGATGGCTTCCTGGAAGTCCACAGGCACCTACGTTGACGCGGTTCCCCCTCCTGGGGCGAACATCGTCAGTGGCATGTGGATCTTCAGGGTGAAGCGGCCGCCGGGCTCTCCACCTGTCTTCAAGGCACGGTACGTTGCTCGTGGCTTCAGTCAGCGGCAGGGAGTTGACTACTTTCAGACCTTCTCTCCCACCCCGAAGATGACTACTCTTCGGGTGCTGCTGCACATAGCCGCTCAGCGCGACTACGAGCTTCACTCTCTCGACTTCAGCACTGCGTTCTTGCAGGGTAGCCTGCACGAGGAGATCTGGCTTCGCCGTCCACCTGGCTTCACTGGGACTTTCCCTCCTGGCACCCAGTGGAGCCTCCGACGGCCAGTCTACGGTCTCCGCCAGGCACCGCCGTGAGTGGCACGACACACTGGAGGACTACGCTTGCGGCTCTTGGGTTTGCTCCTTCTACTGCTGACCCGTCGCTGTTTCTTCGCACCGACACTTCCATGCCGCCGTTCTACATCCTCGTGTACGTCGACGACCTGGTCTTTGCCACAGCGGACACTGCTGGACTCGCCTACGTGAAGTCCGAGCTGTTGAAGAGACACACGTGCACAGACCTGGGTGAACTGCGGCAGCTACCTTGGCTTGCAGATCACTCGGGACAGAGCACGCCGCACCATTACCTTGACTCAGTCACACATGGTGCAGCAGGTCCTTCAGCGCTTCGGCTTCACGTACTCCCTCGCCTCAGGCCACTCCTCTGCCTACTCGCCACTCACTCTCAGCTCTGCCTTCGGATGAGTCCGTAGAGTCGAGTGGTCCGTATGCGGAGCTTGTTGGCTGCCTCATGTACCTGATGACCTCACACGACCTGACCTTGCATACCCTCTGAGCATTCTTGCACGCTATGTTGCTCCTGGGAGACACAGACCGGAGCACATGGCTGCAGCGAAGAGGGTATTGCGCTACCTGTGCAGTACGTCAGGCATGGGGCTAGTGCTTGGAGGGCGGAGGTCCAGTGGTCCTTACCGGCCACGCGGACGCTTCTTGGGCTGACGACCAGGCTACGCAGCGGTCGTCACAGGGTTACACCTTCAGCCTTGGTTCCGGCTCTGTCTCGTGGCGGTCTACTCGCTCGTCTTCGGTTCTCGGCTCCAGTTGTGAGGCTGAGATCTACGCCGGGGCCATGGCTGCACAGGAGCTTCGCTGGCTCACCTACCTGCTGACTGACCTTGGAGAGCCGCCTCGTTCTCCTCCAGTGCTGTACGTAGACAACAAGGCTATGCTGGCCTTGTGTCGAGAGCAGCGCTTGGAGCACAGAACGAAGCACATTGCTCTCCGCTACTTCCTTGCTCGTGAGCTGCAGCAGCGTGGTCAGTTGCGACTTGCGTACGTGGCCTCTGAGGCCAACACTGCTGATGTGTTCACCAAGGCACTTGCGCCTTGTGACCATCAGCGCTTCTGCAACCCAGCTGGGTCTTGTGCCTGTCTTGCCTCACTTGCTCTCCTCTTGACTTCACTTGTACTGTGACATATATATATACCTGCTCTTGCTTGTCTAGCTTTATATATATGTCTGTACTCTTGCTTGTGAACTGGCCTTTGGCCTTGCTCTTGTGCTCGGACTGTGTGGTGACTTTGTGATCCACCCTGAGCTTTGCTTTGTCTTGCTTGACTGGTCTTGTGACCCCTTGTTCTCCCCCACTTTGCCTATGGGGGTGTGTCAGAACATATCTATAGCTTATACTGCTGTGTAGGCTGTAGTGGGGTATCCCATAGGGGGTACAACCCAGTTAGGGTTTCATATTTGTACTGCTTTCATTCATAGTTCATTCATTCCTGTTTTCCTATTCTCACAACTAGGCCCTTGCTCTGCTATTTCGCGAACGCCAGGCCCTTGTTTTGCTATTTTGCACACCGCTATTGCCTTGTTTCTCTTTATTTGGCACAACGCCGTTTGGCCCTTGTTCTTCCAATTTTCCGCACATGCTAGACCCTTGTTCTTTTTGAATTGCACACGCTAGGCCTGTTGTCTTGCTATTTCGCGAACGCTAGGCCCTGGATCTTGATTTTTTGCACACGCTAGGCCCTTGCTCTTGCTATTTGCCACTCACTAGGCCTTTCTGTTCTTGCAATTTTTTGCAAACGCTAGGCCATTGTTCTGCAAGTTTGCACACGCTAGGCCCTTGTTCTTTT